GGGCACACTGGGTGACACACGGAGGGTCACACTTGGCCACGAACTGCGGCACGCAGCAGGACTCCAGGCACTCCAAGCCCTTCTGGCCCGTCCCGATGGGCACGCCCGCCTCCAGCGCCCCGGCCAGCTCGGCCGACTCGGTGGAGCCCACCACGGTCTCCTGCGGGTACGTGGTGAGGATGGGCCCCGGGAAGGTGACGACCACGGGTGGTGGGAAGATGATGACCCGCGAGTCGGGGCAGGCCACCACGCAGGGCTCGTTGCAGGCGGCGGCGCGCGGGTCGGGGCAGGGCTCGGCGCACACGGTTTTCTCGCAGGACATCTTGCGGCTGGGCTGGACCTGCAAGGAGGGGACAAATGTCAATCCCGAGGAGCCAGAGGGATGGGATCAACCCGTGGAAAGGCACAAGGTAGGCGGTGGGTTGACAACCACTCTGTTCTGCTTGGCTTGGCTCTTGTTGGTGACTTTCCAGAGCCCTGGGAACACAAACACCTGGGGACACCAAAACACCTCTTGGAGACACCAAAACACCTCTTTGGGGACACCAAAACACCTCTTTTGGGGACACCAGAACACCTCTTTGGGGACACCAAAACATCTCTTTTGGGGACACCAGAACACCTCTTTTGGGGACACCAAGCCACCTCTTGGAGGACACCAAATCACCCCTTTGGGAACACCAAAACACCTCTTTGGGGACACCAAATGACCCCTTTGGGGCTGTTGTTTAATTAATATCTGTTTTCTCCTGTGCAATTTGGGCTGCAGAGGTGGAGCTCAGTAAAACGAGGGCAACACTGTAGGAATGGACAACACGAGAGGTTTTACTGGACCAAATTTGGACAAAGTCTGGGCTAAGAAGATAAGAATCCAAGGGATATCATCCCTGTGATGGAATTGATCCATGAGAATACCAATAATTATGGATTTAGTGCAGTCAGTTCACAACAGGTGCCTTTGCCACAGACATTGAACACAAAACTCACTTGGAAAAATCAATAAAAACCTTTTGCAAGACCATGAAGAAAAACTGAAGCACAACAAAAACCTGAGAGCAGTTGTCCCAAATTTAAAGTTCAGAGGGATTCAAACTGTTCCCAAACCAGGGCTGAGTTTTTCTTTCTGGTTTTGAAATAAATTTAAGGGTGGGTATTTGGAAAACAGCACAAAAGTCCATTCAAGTTGTCATTTCAACCTAACCCAAATTCCACCTCAAAGCACCCAGTGAAGGAGCTGCTTAATCTGTTGTTACAGATTAAACTGAATATTTTGAGTTCAGCCCAGGTGATTATTTATTTTTTTTAGCTGCGTATTGGAGAAGCCTGGGTGGGGTTGAGTTTGACTCAAGCCATTTTTGTTTTCTTTGGCATTCTAAACACGATGTCCAAATGTGCATAATTCACCCAAATTTAAACCCTAATCCAGGTGCTCTCCTGAGCTTCCCACCCTTTAAATCTGCTACAGTTCTTAATTCCCTGTCCTTGACTTGACCCTGATCGGAGACCAAAACAGAGGAAAGGAATAACTTAAAACCAGACCTAAACACAGAGTACAGCACATCCCAAAGAGATTCAAATATTCTCGCTTTGCATAAAACCAAAGCTTTGCATAAACACAACAAAACCACCCAAAGGAGCTTCCCAAGTTGAAATTTTTTAGGCCATTCCTGTATTTCCTGCATAGGAAAACCAGGAAATTTGTAGGGTCTCATCCACAGGGATGTTGCGTCCTCATCCACAGGAGACTGCAGCTCTGCCCATCTCAATATTTCTAAAACTTGTGTTTAAATTTCCGCACCACCTCTGCCCAAAATCAGATAAAAATTGGAAGCCACAAGGTCAGAACCGCCCCGCCAGGTGGAAGCTGCTGGCTGAGGTGTTTTAAGGTTACCTAAAGGCTGAATCCATTAAATTTCCATAAAGCAATGGAATTAAATGTTTTTAATATTATCTAGATTGCGAATACATTTTTAAACTTTGATCCCGCAACGCTTCTGGATGATAATCAAAATTATTTTGATTATTCCATGAAAATAAATGGAATTGTTTTCCAGAATGGCAGAACACGAATCCAAAATTCAGCGTTGAGTTAATTGTAAACATTTGTAAAATTAGACTCATTTTATTGTCTTATTTTAGGAAGAAGTTATATCAGAATCCAACTTACTCAGTTCACCGAGGAGAAGCCAACAGGACCCGCTGGAAGCTCCCTGAGTCAGGAATGGTTTTTATATCCCCAGCTGGACCACCAGGCTGATGCAAGAAAATAACGTCATATTTGTGCATTAGGTCCCATTACTCCCCAAACCAAATTTGAGGGGTAATTACAGTAATTGCTTTGCTTTGCTCACTGTTTGTGTTCATTACCCTTTTCTCACCTGCACGTGACCGCCGTTGTTTGGCCCCGGATTCTTCTCATTTCAGAGTTTTGAGACTCAAATTTATTCCTGCAGCTCTGCCGAGGTGAAAGCCCGGGCTGAGCTCAGCTTTGCAGGAGTTCCCGAGCTTTGCAAGGCTCGTCCTTGCAGCTCCTTAATCCCAGGATTTGTTTTCCTGGCCTCCAAGAATGCAGCAGAGCCTAACCCAGCATTAGCCGTGAGTGTTCCCGGCTGCTTCCAAACTTGTTGGGACGTGTTTATGGGAATGGCTGGACTGGAGTGGCCGAGTCGGCTCCCAGAGCCACTCCCGGCTGAGCCCATGGGGCTCTGGCTTCTCATTTGGTGTCCGAGTCCAGGATCCGACTCACCCCAAGTTCCAAACCTCGAGGAGTTCCACCTCAGCGTGAGGGAGAACTTCCTTCTATGGAGCTGCTGCCCAGGGAGGGCAGAATTTGGATTGTCCCTGTCTGGAGTCATCCCAAACCCACGTGGATGTGTCCCTGTGTCACCTGCCCAGGGAGATCTCCAGAGGTCACTTCCAACCCCAATAATCCTGGGATTCTGGGGTATGAAAGAACACTGGGAGGTGATGTGGCCAGTGGAGCCCTGATTTAGCACAGAACTCCTCCTCTGCCACAAAATTCATGCCCAGAAAGAAATCAGAAGCGGGAAGGTCCCTTTTGGGAAAAGTGGGATGGTCAGAGGGATCCTGGTATGGGATAAATCACTCCATCCCCAGTTCCTTTCCTGGTGGTTTTGGTCACCAGAAAAATGTTGGAGTGTGGAGGAGTGTGGGAAACTCAGGGCGAGGGGAGAAGCCGCCGAGACAATAATTCACTGCTTAACACAAGGAAAACCAGGAAAAAAACCCAGGATTTCTTTAAGGTCGCTCAGGACAGCTCTGGATCCAGAGGACAAAGAGTTACAGCCCCAGTTCGTGCTGGGGCGAAGCAGAAATTCATGGCATGCTGGAAGCTCAGCCCCCGAGGTGAGAGAAGCCCGATCCCATTTAAATCTCCAAATATGCCCTGATTTGGGAAGGTGAGTGTTTGGCCAAGTGGATTGAAATAGTATCATTAGGATAACAAACACAGGGGCAGGCTTTTAATCCCCAAGAACCAGAGGGATCCGAATTCCCGAGGCTGAGTCAGGAGAATCACATGGGTGGCCCTGACACATTTGTTTGGAAGGGACGCTATGATTCAGTCCTGCTTTAATACCCGCAGCCTGTCATTAACTTCAGAGAGCCACGGCGCTTTGCATGGGTAAAACATGAGTGGGTGTTTGCAAAACCATCCCCAAGCATTTCCTCACAGCATTCCCAATGAGTGCTTTTGCCCAGGGGAGCCTCTGGGATCGCTCTGCTTCCAGCAGGGGACGGAGAGCACGGAGGTTGTGACAAAAATAAACCAAAGAAATAAAAGAGGAAGGAGGGAAATGAGCCCAGGAAATGCTGGGGATGCTCAGAAACATCTGGCTTGGGGTGGCAGGTCCTGGTGCCAACCTGATCCAGGGCTCCTCAGCTGAGTGTGACACAAAATTCTGCAGCTGGGAAGGTGGGATGGGCCCCTGAGAGAGGATTTTAAAGGAATCACAGAAATGGGATGGTTTGGGTGGGAAGGGACCTTAGAAATGTCTTCATGCCATGCCCCACACCTCCCACCATCCCAGGCTGCTCCAATTCCCATCCTGCCTGGCCTTGGACACTTCCAGGGATGGGGAGTTAATGGATCACGATCAGGATGAGGATCAGTAGGACCTGTCAGGGGCTGCTTGCCCTGGAGCAGCCCACCGCAACAACCTCTGGCAGCTTCGGAAAAGTTTGGAGACACCGGAATTCCTTTCCAGCTCCTTTCAGCAGTGCCAGCTCTGCCTGGAGTATTCCTCCTCCTCCTCCTCTCTCCTTAAGCAGCAGACTCCTGCAGCTTTTATCCTGTTTTTGGTTCTCTCGGGGGCATTCCCAGCTCCAGGTCTTCATCTCTTTCCAGGTTTCAGCCCCAGGAATTCCCCAAAAGCCCCTTGGAAGGGAAGAGCCTCTCTGCCCTTCCTGGCAGGAATTCCCTTCCCCAGAGCAGCTCCAGAGGGAGCTTTTGGACCAGCCCAACTTCCACAGGCAGGAATTAATTTCTTCTCCTGCATGTCTTTATTTATTTATGTGGAAAAAATTGGGGATGAGGAAGTGGTTATGCAATCCCAGTTGGAAAAGGATTTCAGACTTCATACAGGTGAAGTTACAAGAGATGTTGTAAGCAGGAAATATAAATAAATATTAATTATTCGGGAGGTTTGGGATGGAGAAGGGTCTGCAGAGGTCGGGAGGGAGCTGGGGGTGGGGCTCCAACCCTCCCAAATTCCTGAATTAGGCCAAAAGCATCAGTTGGAAGGAGGAGTTACAAGGAAAACAAACCAACGTGGGAATTTGAATGCAACAGAACTTTATTGGCAGGGAAGGGTTCGGGGCAGAGTCACAGGCAGGGAGCACAAAGGACGATTCCCAGGGCTTTGGGAAGCGATGCAGATCCACAAAGGTTGGAGAAGGCGATTCCTGGGGTGTCCTTGTCTTGCAGCTTCCCCAGGAGCTGAGCCCAGCCCGCGGCTGCTGCCGGGGGAGCCGGGGCTGCCTCAGAAATAAAAGGAGCCGCAGTTTCCTCCTCCAAACCTCCCGGAGCTGGAGCTGCCCCCTCCGTAGGATCCCCCTCCATAGGAGCCGCCCCCAAAGGAGCCCCCGCCGCAGGAGCCCCCGAAGCCCCCGCCCGAGGAGCCGAAGGTTCTTCTGCTCCCAAAGGATCTGCCCCCTCCGTAGGAGCCCCCGGAGCCAAAGGATCGGCCCCCTCCGTAGGAGCCCCCAAAGGAACCACCTCGGCAGGATCCGCCAAAGGAACCGCCTCCGTAGGATCCACCCATGGAACCTCCTCCGTAGGATCCACCCATGGAACCTCCTCCGTAGGATCCCCTAATTCCCCCTATGGAACTGCCTCCGTAGGATCCCCCCATGGAACCTCCTCCGTAGGATCCCCCCATGGAACCTCCTCCAAGGGATCCCCCAATTCCCCCCATGGAGCCGCTGCCGCCTCCGTAGGAGCCCCCAAGGGCGCCTCCGGATCCCGAAGATCCCATGGCCCCCGACGGGAAGGAGGTGCCCACGAAGCTCTCCTGCGGGCAGGAGCTGAGGATGGGCCCCGGGAAGGTGATGACCACGGGCGGCGGGTAGACCACGGCCCGGGAGTCCCCGCAGGAGGTGACACAGGGCTGGCTCCAGGCGTCCGCGTAGGGCTGGGGACAGGACACCTCGCACGGGGACGAGCAGCCGCTGCTCATCATCGCTCCTGACGACATTCTTGGGATGGACGGCGACCTGCACAGCAATCAGAACCTCAGTGCCCAGAACTCCAAGGAAAAAGAAATCCTGCTCTGGTTCTTTCCATGAGCAGGAAAAAATGGGGAAGGAGAGTAGAGAGATTCCTGACATCTTTTGTGATAGAGGAAGAACTGCTGTTCTGCAAAGGATTAAAATTAAAATGTTCCGGGAAGAGATCTGGGCTTTTACACAATCCCCAGGATGATAAAATGTGTAATTTCCTGACTGAAGGAATTATTGCCCTATAAATACAAGATCTCCTCTCTTTTCCCTCCATCCTGAATAAAAGCCAAGCTCGGAGTAGTTAAGTTGTAACCTCCCCGTCAAATAAGCAGTGCTTAATTGAGACTTTCCCTCTGTGGTTGGGAACAGCACAACCTCACGCTTTGAGATCTGCATCTCCCAACCAGCCACAACAAACCTCCCTTCCCAAGAGACAGAACTGATAGAATGGAACAATTTGGCTCGGAAAAGAGCCCCAAGTCCCAATTCCCGATCATTTCAAAGCTCTGACAAGGAATCATTTCCCAGTTCAGCACCGACAGCCGCATCCCAGTTAATGGAAATGGAATTAGAGGCAGAGAACTCACCGGGCTCGCAGGGAAAACCGGACTGAGGAGAAGGTGCTGGAGAAGCTGCAGGAGAATCCCAGTTTTTATACCCTTCCCGACGGCTCCCAGGCCATGCAACACAACTGTGGGACATCACCAGCGACACTTTTTGCTGCATAAGCGCCTTCTAATTGTAATAATTGCTTTGATAGGTGCTAATGATTCGTAAATCAACCCCTCATCGGCCAATACATGCACACACCCTTTGTCTTGCTTTAATCCTTAAATAATTTTTTGATGATTTTGTGACTGCTGCCATTTCATGACCTGGTTTGACTTGGGAATTGGCTTGGAAGGGGGATGGATCGGGAATTCCCTCAGCAAGGGCAAAAATCAGTTTGGCTTTCTCAGGGGAAATATTTTCTGTTCTGCAGAAAATTCCCTGGAAATCCAGAATTGGGAAAACCCACAAATTTTGTGTTTATAAATCCTTGGATGGGAAGGGTCATTTTTTGTACCCATTTAACCCAAGGAACTCGTTAAAAAGCACTTAAATTAATACCTTGGGTGCTCATTGTCATCCAAGGAAGCCCTGTGTGAGAGCATTTAATTATTTTAATTCTCCTTTTGTCACATTAATTTTCATAATTCTCCTTTTGTCATCTTAATTATCCTAATTCTCCTTTTGTCCCCTGTTGGGACAGCTGCAATATTCCAGGGAGACACGTGTCCAGGAGGTATCATTGGAGGAAGAAACCAAAATATTTTTGAGTGCATGAATCTGATTTCATCTAAAACACAATAAAAGCATCTCAAGACTGGCCAAGATTATTTTTTCAGGGAATTCCTGATTTCCCTGAAAATTCCAGCAGAATTCCTGGGTTTAGACCTCATCTGGTGAAAGGCAGAAATGCATAAATAGTAGGAGAGATCTCCAAGCAAAATTCCCAATTTATCAATCACCAGAAACATCCAGGAGGGTTTTAGATGTGATGGATATTTTGGGGTAGTTGTCACAAACACCTCACACAAACATTGGTGTCATCAAACCCCAGACTGGGGTAGGGAGTTGGTTCTAAATCAAAGTCAGCTGAAGAGTTTTGAGATTTGAAATTTGAGATTTGAAACCTAATATTTGATATTGGAGATTCAAGATTCAAGATTTGAGATTTGAGGTTCGAGGTTTTTGAGATTCGAGATTTGATTCTCAGTCGGAGCTGTGGGAGGGAAGCGACTCCAGTTTGGAGCTGGAATTTCATCTTGTTTGTCCTGGAAAGGGTGGTCAGGCCTTGGAAAGGCTCCCTGGAGCTGTCCAAGGAATACCTGGCCACTGGTCGGGGTGACCAGGTGGGGATCAGTCCCAGGTTGGACTCCAAGACCTTGGAGCTCTTTTCCAACCTCAACAATCCCGAAATACCGTGATCATCCCACATTTCACATTTCTATCACGATAAAGTTTATTGTCGGTGTTTACATAACTCCTATCCCCACTTTTCTGGTGTTTCCAGACCCGATTGGAAAACAGAACACGAGGAGCCGATATCGGGGTTAAGATCTTGCAACAGAACCCGAACAAGCCCTGTCAGGCCCCGGTGACATCCCCAGGTTTGACAGCTCTGCCAGTCAGCAATTCCTCCTTGACTCCTCAATTAATGGGAAACTTTCTGGGTTCCTCCAGTTGGGTTGGGAAATATTGATTTACATGGAAAATCCTGGGTTCTGCTGCTGGTTCTCCCATTCCGGCAGCTCTGGGAAGTGGCAGCGCTTCCATCAACTCCCCAGAATCCAGATTATGGGTGGAAAGCAAAATCTTGTGCAGGAAACAGATTTATTAATCAATAAATCCGTCAAGTGGATCAAAACTCATTCCAGCTTCAGTTCCAGCAAGGCCCAGGGACAGCACCAGCTCCGAGGTGACTTCTGGGGGTCGGAATGTGGAGCAAATGGGATCAAACCCAAGGGGTGCAGTGCTTGGAACGTGACTTGGGATTAATAACGAATTTATCACGTCACTTAGGAGAACAATTAGGACAATTAATGAAACAATCCAGCCAGCAAAACATGGTTTGGTAACGCGTGGGAAGCTCTTGCATAAAGCGCAGCTCCCATCCCACTGGGGGTCAGGAAAAGTATAAAAGAGCCCTTGGAATTCTGCAGTGCCATCCACAGCTGCTCCTCGTCTCCACTTCTCCAGACCCGGTGAGTTGGATCTTCTTTGTCCTCTGCGTGAATAGGGGAAAATATTTTCTGTCTTTCCTCTCCTTCCCAAAAGATGTTTTCAGGAATCTTTCTAAGCTCTTCCTCTCTTTTCCTGCTCATGGAAGGCACCAGAGCAGGATTTCTTTTTCCTCTGGAATTTTGGGAATTGTAGTTAGGATTTATCCCCTGCTTCATGTTCCTCCCCATCCTAAAAGGTGTCTCCAGGACATGGAGGGCTTGCTCTCCTGCAGAACCTGTGGTGCCCAACAATTCCATTTGCCTTTTCCAGGCTTTAAACCCAAAGTCCCATCCAAGCCTGCATTTGTAGGCACAGGATCAATGACAGGTCTGGAATTTCTCAGGCAATGGGATCAAGGTTGTTGGTGACCACCACAACTTTATCTTATGGTCCAAAAAACTCCTGGGGATGAGCTGCTCCCAAAGACCCCTGAGTTTGGCTTTGCTCTCCAGGATTCCCAGCACTGCCAGGGCAGCAGGAAACCCTTTGAGAATCAGCAGAGCTCAGTGCAGAAAAACACAGAAAGGGGACAAGCCTGACTCTTCCCAAACTCTCCTTCCCCACTTTTCCTGCTCATGGAAAGAACCAGAGCAGGATTTCCTTTTCCTCTGGAGTTCTGGGCACTGAGGTTCTGATTGCTGTGCTGCCGCAGGTCGCCGTCCATCCCAAGAATGTCGTCAGGAGCGATGATGAGCAGCGGCTGCTCGTCCCCGTGCGAGGTGTCCTGTCCCCAGCCCTACGCGGACGCCTGGAGCCAGCCCTGTGTCACCTCCTGCGGGGACTCCCGGGCTGTGGTCTACCCTCCGCCCGTGGTCATCACCTTCCCGGGGCCCATCCTCAGCTCCTGCCCGCAGGAGAGCTTCGTGGGCACCTCCTTCCCGTCGGGGGCCATGGGATCTTCGGGATCCGGAGGCGCCCTTGGGGGCTCCTACGGAGGGGGCAGCGGCTCCATGGGGGGAATTGGGGGATCCCTTGGAGGCGGTTCCATGGGTGGATCCTATGGAGGCGGTTCCATTGGTGGATCTTACGGAGGCGGTTCCGTGGGGGGAATTGGGGGATCCTATGGAGGAGGTTCCATGGGTGGATCCTACGGAGGAGGTTCCATGGGTGGGTCCTACGGAGGCGGTTCCTTTGGCGGATCCTGCCGAGGTGGTTCCTTTGGGGGCTCCTACGGAGGGGGCCGATCCTTTGGCTCCGGGGGCTCCTACGGAGGGGGCAGATCCTTTGGGAGCAGAAGAACCTTCGGCTCCTCGGGCGGGGGCTTCGGGGGCTCCTGCGGCGGGGGCTCCTTTGGGGGCGGCTCCTATGGAGGGGGATCCTACGGAGGGGGCAGCTCCAGCTCCGGGAGGTTTGGAGGAGGAAACTGCGGCTCCTTTTATTTCTGAGGCAGCCCCGGCTCCCCCGGCAGCAGCCGCGGGCTGGGCTCAGCTCCTGGGGAAGCTGCAAGCCAAGGACACCCCAGGAATCGCCTTCTCCAACCTTTGTGGATCTGCATCGCTTCCCAAAGCCCTGGGAATCGTCCTTTGTGCTCCCTGCCTGTGACTCTGCCCTGAACCCTTCCCTGCCAATAAAGTTCTGTTGCATTCAAATTCCCACGTTGGTTTGTTTTCCTTGTAACTCCTCCTTCCAACTGATGCTTTTGGCCTAATTCAGGAATTTGGGAGGATTGGAGGCTCCAGGATGAGAACCAGACACAATTATCCCACTCAGCACTGCGTTTGAAGGGGGGAACAACAAATATTCCACCATCAGTATTTCCTACTGAAGATATACCCCTATTTTTGCCTCACGTTTTCTTTGCAACCTTTTCTCCTACAAATCCTTCACTTGGAAACCACTTTGCCCAGAGCCAGCTGAAATCCTCCTCTCTTAAAACCTGGAGTCACTTTCAGGCCACTTTAACAGGAATTGGGAGCTCTGGTTTCACCCTGTGACATATTCTAGAATTTGCTGAACTGGAATTCTGTGGGATCTTTTGCCTCCTGTCTCCACTTCACCTCGATTACAAACAAATTATCTAATTGTTTTCCAATTGAGCCTGTTTCTTCAGCCCCATTAAGGTTTTACTCCGGGCTGATGAATTTATGATGTGCCATCATTAAATTAATCACAGATTAAAATTCCTAAACCTCTTAAGCACACGGGGAATTTAAGCAACTTTAGTTGTGTGTCATCTAATTTTATATTTACTTCCAGAGCTGTCAATTCAATTTTTTAAACCCATTTTCAGCTTAAACAGAGAGTGAAAATTTTGAGTTTCCAAGCAGGAATCTCTCATGTGGACAACTTATTTTTCTTATATTTTCTACATTTCAGTTCATCCTTCTTGAGTTCATAAATACTAAGGATTCTATAGTGCAATAAAAAAATATTAAAAACATCTTTTAATTTTTTTTTTTTTTTTTAGGCTTCCTGCTCTCCCTCCAATATTTTCCAGGGGGCAAAGCCGGGTTTTAGATCCTCTTTGGCACATCTTTAGAGCTGGGGCTCACCCAGGGTTCTCCCTGTGCTCTCATGCCGACAGAAAACAACAGCACCAGGCGGGATCGGAGCTCTTGTGCCACTCCTCCCTTGGGAAATCCTCTCTTGCACAGCCCAGTGAGATTTTGCTGTCATATAAAAGCAGCCCTTTGATGATGCCACAGCTGGGAGGAATTTCTCCACATCTTGAAGAGTTTGGCGTTGCCAGCTCAGAGTGACAGCTCAGAAATCACGCAGAGGTTCCTTGGTGGATTTCCTTTGGTTCCCATCCCCATCCTCACCTTTTCGTTCTTTAATACTCCTGAAGGTGTGTTCACCTTTCTTGAACCTCAGAATTCTGCAGAATTCACAATAATTCCTAAAAACTGGTTCTAAATATGGCAGAATGGCTGAGACCGGGCTCTGCTCCCAGGGAATGGGCAGGACAAGAGGGAACGGCCTCGAGCTGTGCCGGGGAGGCTCCGGGTGGGAAATTTGGGAACATTCCTTCTAGAAAGGGCAGCCAAGGAGGTTTGGAGTGGCCACCCCTGGAGGTGTCTGAGGAATGTCTGGACATGGCACTGGTCTGGTGGGAGGTGGACATCGACCAAAGATGGGACCTGATGACCTTGGAGACTTTTTCCAGCCTCAAGGACTGGATTTTATAATTCCAGGAATGAACAGAATCCTTCAGGAGGGAGGAGCCGAGCTAAACCAGGGTGTAAAATAAAAACCTGTGGCTTTCCAGCCATCATCTGACCACCCCTCACTTGTTCATCCTGCAGCTCGAAGTTGTCACCTCCAGAGACCTCCGTGCCCCCCAGAGAACAACTGAACCCTTTTGTGCTTGAATTTCAGGTGCTGATCCAACCCTCCGTTTCGCAACCCCAATTAATTAAACAATTACCTCTCAATTACCATAAAACCCCGTAATTGTTGCTCACTGAACCAGCTTGAGGAAGCCTAGGGAGGTAGAGAAGAGGATGGGACCTAAATGGCCCCACAGAGAAAGGAAATCCCGACAAAAGGTGCTGATGCAGGAGGATTTTAATAGGATACACTACGAATGACACCAAACAGACACTCCTTCCTTCAGCCCACTGTCCAAGAAGGATCCACCTTCCACCCATTGTTCTTCTGCTGTCAGGGCTGCACTGACAAACCGTGCCAGGCCTTTCAAGCTGTTCTGTTTTTCTTCCCTTGGCACAATGGAAAGAAGGAGCTGGCACTGAAGGGTGATTAACAGAGGCTGTTGCTAATTAAAGACAAAGGGGGAATGCAGGGAAGAGGCGTGGGCCCAGTTCCCAGCAGTCCTGAGTCAGGGTGGCTCCCGTTGATGCTTTTGCCATCTCCAAAAGCCGGTCCCAGCTGCAGGTCTGGGTCGTGGGGTTCTATCTGCTGGGCCTGCGGATCTTCAGCTGCCTCAGTTTCCCAGGCGGGATCCACGGCTGCTGCTGGTGTAGAACTTCCTGAGGTAGCAGCCCCCCGAGGAGGAGCCCCCACATCCAGAGGAACCCGCCCTCCCTGACGTGCTCCCACATCCATAGGAGCCCCCAGACCCATAGGAGCCCCCAGATCCATAGGAGCCCCCAGACCCATAGGAGCCCCCAGATCCATAGGAGCCCCCAGACCCATAGGAGCCCCCAGATCCATAGGAGCCCCCAGATCCATAGGAGCCCCCAATTCTGGACAGGCCACCAGAGTAGCCTCCCATCCCTGAGCCGTAGGAGGAACCACCAGAGGGCTGGGGCATGGATGATGTCACGATGCTCTCCTGGGGGCAGGAGCTGAGGATGGGGCCAGGGAAGGTGATCCACACGGGTGGGGCGTAGACGAGGGCCGTGGAGTCCCCACAGGAGGCCACGCAGGGACCGAGGCCTCTGCTGTAGGCACAGGGCTCGGGACACGTCACCTCGCAGCCGGGCAGGCACCGGGAGCTGATGCAGTTCATGGTTCTCAGGGCTGGAGGAGGAGCTGGGAAAGAGAAGATGGAGTCAGGGAATGTCAGGGACACCAGATGAGGTCCTCGTCCTTCCTGCTCACGGAACTCCACGATCCCGGAGGTTGGAAAAGAGCTCCAAGAGCATCGAGCCCCAGCTGTGCCCAAGCCCCACCTGGTCACCCAGACCAGTGTCCAGTCCTTCCTTGGACATCTCCAGGGGTGACCACTCCAAACCTCCCTGAGCCCCTTCCAAGGCCTGGCCACCCTTTCCAAGAGGAATTTCCCCAAATTTCCCACTCTGAGCCTTCCCTGGCACAGCTCGAGGCCGTTCCCTCTTGTCCTGTCTCTGTTCCCTGGGATCAGATCCCAAATCTCCCCTGGAGGAGCCCAAAATTCCCCCTGTATCTCCCTTTTCTCCAGGTTGAGCCCTCCCAGCTCCCTCAGGATTCTCCAGACCCTTCTCCAGCTGCTCCAGCCCCTCAGTGACCTTCCTGAGTTGGGGGACCAAGAACTGGCCACAGGATCGAGGTGTGGCTTCACCTCCTGCCTCAGATCCTCCTGTCTTGGGACACTATTTCTCCCTCCTCTGTAGAAAACACCTTGGTTTTTTAAGCAAACTTAAGCTTTAAATTTGCATCTCAAGCCTTGAAGAGCCACAAGAAAAATTCCAATAATTCCTAAAATTCTGTCTTTAAATATCAGATGGATTTCTTCCAAGTGACTGCAGTGAGACTCCAACAAAAAACAGAATTTCACTGCCACGTCTCCTGGGTAAAATGCCCAAAATCAAGGAACAAGTCCTTTTTTAAAGCTGTCGCTACAGAGGATGAGAGAGAGCAAAGATCAGCTTAAATCCAACTCACCTGGAGTAGCAGGAGAAGTCAGGAGAAGGTTTGAGGAGACTCCAGAGATGTTCCTGCTTTTATACCTCTTTGGAGGCAGCTCCTGGGGTATGAAGCACCCCATAAAATCTCTCACCCTTACCAAATTCTGATATTTTTCCTCTGTGTGACTCCTCTAGCGCCTGTAATTATTTTCATAGTTTCCAATTAGCAAATCAACCCTCGACATATACAATCTGACTCTCATATCATAAATTTGGCTTTTTCATTGTGTGGGAATTTTACAGCCCGGCTCCTGTGCAACATCCCGGGGGTGACTGGATTTACAATGGAACCTGACCCCTGCCTGTTATTTTTCATTAATGATTTACGTGAGGCCTGGACAGATCAACGCTGCAAGTCTGCACTAAAGAACAGCTTGGGTTGATGAGGAGATAATTTTGAAGGTCAAACTCATTTGTGAAGAATTTCAGGAGGAATTTCCTCATGGAAAGGGCTTCGGAAGGGTCTGGCCAGGAGGGTTTGGAGTGCCCATCCTTGGAGGTGTCCGAGGAACAACTGGACATTGGTCTGGGTGACCAGGTGGTGATGGCTCAAATGTTGGACTTGACGACCTTGGGGGGCTTTTCCAACCAAGATGATCCCAAGGTTCCACGTTTGGGATCCACCTTGGGGCACAAAGGCCTGGTGATCTTGAGCTGTGCCCTTGCAGTGGCACTGGTGGCATCCTAGTGACAGCGCTGAGCTCAGCATCCCCAGAATGAGTTTTGATTAAAATTACTCAGAGGTTTCGGGGCTTAGAGGGCTTCACGTGTCACTTCAATGCCTTCAAATGTGTTTTGCTGTCTCATCCCCTCAATCTGTGGATGCAGGAGGGGTTGCAAAGAGCCCTGACCCCCATCCGAGGTCGGATGATTCTGTTTGGGAGGGATTTCACCCAAATCGGAGGATTACGCCCCAATTGTGTGAGTGACATGAGGGGAGCCACCTTCCTGCGAGTCACCGAAGGAAAACAAACACAGAGATCAGCTCCTGTTTCTTTTGGAACCTGAATGATGCTGAAAGGATCTTCCTCCATGAAGTCTGAGACAAAAGGAGAATTCTGGGTGTTGTGTTTGTGTCACTCAAAGCAGGGCTGGAAAAGATCAGTAATTACGAGCTGAAATGAAAACAATGGCGAGGCTTAAGAGGATCTGTTTCTTTGTAAGTGATAAGAATTTGGTAAATAATGGGTGACATCACATCCTTCTTATTGTCTGAAAATGGTATAAAAGGGGAGAGACCTGAGAAATCTTCCATCCTAGCAGCTCCACTGATTTCTTCCCTCCAAGACAACCAGGTAAGTCTGACTTCATTGCACTCCTCACTATTTTGAAATTTCTCTTTTTTTATCTTGCAAAATTCCATCCGTTTTAGAAAAGCTGAGGGAGAGAAGAGTGGATTTAGAAAAGTTGGGGAAAAGGGAAGAAAGGAGCAAGGAAAATTTTCCTTGGGGACTTTCTGAAGGGAAATCTTCCTGCAGATCTACTTGAAAAGGGAATTAATGGGACTATTCTGGGCAAGGGATTGTTTAAGGATCAACAGTTCAGCTCCAGAGAAGAGGGGAAGGTTTGGGGGATTTTTTAAGAGAGATTCAGAAGAAAAAGAGATGTGGTGGTAGGAAAGGAAGAACTGAGAAGCCTCAAACAGGTCAGGAAGGAAGGAAATAGCAGGAAAAATGGGAATCTGTGAGGGAGGATTGAACTGGGAGCAGCTGGAGACAAAGTGCAACTGGTTCATACTGGGAACCCGTGGCCTGACTGTGCTGCTTCCCTGACCTCCCCTTTCCTCTCCCAGCTGGATCCCAAATCCCAAGCAATGATGTCGAACGTCAGCTCCGAGTGCCTGCCGGGCTGCGAGGTGGCCTGCTCCCAGCCCTGTGCCTACAGCAGGAGCCTGGAGCCCTGCGTTGCCTCCTGCGGGGATTCCAGAGCCGTGGTGTTCCCTCCTCCCGTGGTCCTCACCTTCCCGGGCCCCACTCTCAGCACCTGCTCCCAGGAGAGCGTGGTGGGAGCGTCCCAACCCATGGTTCTGGGTGCTCCCATCCCAAACATCTCCGATGAGTCCTACGGAGTGGGGGGCTCCTTTGGGGCTGGAAGCACGGCGGGGGTGGGACCCGCCTTCGGATCCGGGGGCTCCTTTGGCTACGAGGGCGCCTCGGGGATCAGGGGTCCCTTTGGATATGGGGGTTCCTTTGGTTATGGGATGCAGAATTCCCGCGGGTCCTGTGGCTACGGGGGTGTGCTGGGAGCGAAGGGCTCCTTTGGGTCTGGGGGTGCCTTTGGCTACGGAGGCTCCTCGGGAGTGGGGAGCTCCTGTTACAGCTGGAGGTCCCGCAGCAGCCGTGGACCCTACCTGGGGAACCGGAGCTCATCCTAAAGCCAAACAAGCCAGAGGATGAAAACCCGGGATCCAGATCCACAGCCAGGCCTGGAATTCCAAGGCTGTTCCCTGAAAACCAAGCCCACATCTCTTCCTGTGCCTCATCTCCAATCAAACCCCGTGCCATGACGTCTCTCCTGGAACTCTTTAATTGATCTCATCCTGTGTCCCTTCTGGTGGGGTGGAAAAGCTTCAGAATTCCATGTGGGGTTTTCTGTAAAGGTCCTGGCTGCCCTGGGACTCCCCCACGAATTGCTCTGGTTTGTTCTATTTAATTTACTTCAAGCCCTAATAAAAATCATTCCAAATTGCATTGGCATCTTACTGGTTTTCCTTTCTTTGCAATCCCGGGATCATTTAGGCTGGAAAAGACCTGCAAGGTCATCAAGTCCAATCTTTGATCCCCACAAAATGAGGTCACCCCTAAGCATCCCAAACCCCCATTACCCTGCCTCCAAGGGTAAACTGGTTTTAACTGGGAGCTGCACCAGTCCATCCCCAGAGGTTTTTCCAACCAATTGGAAATTATTCTATGCTACTTATTGGATAATGTGGAATAGATCAGAAAGAGAAAATAGTTTATTGAGGAATTTCAGACTAATTATATTTGCATTGAAGCAGAATTAATTCCCCTCTGATGAGAATTAATTACCGCACAAGGATTCCCTTCTTTCGGACCAGTTTGTAACTGAAAGTGAAATAAAAGCCAGAACCCGGGGCTGTGATGCAACAGGGCTTTAATACAAACAAAAAGTGGGGTGAGGCAGTGCAGAGACAAAGAACGGAATCTCCATTTCAGCATTCCCATTTCAGCATTCCCATTTCAGAATTCCCATTTCAGCATTCCCATGTCAGCATTGCCATTCCAGCCTGGACTCCAGTCCAGCAATCATTCCAAGACATTCTTTTTCCAGCCAGACACTTTCCCAGCCAAGTCCCATGACTGGTTTGACTCTTCGGGTTCAGGGAGTACAAAACACAACAGGAGCGAGGGACAAAGGGAGGGAACATCAGGATCCTAAGCCTTGGATAAAGCACAACGAGATCCAAACAACCCCGGCTCCGAGCAGAGACGGTTTGGAATTCCTAGCTCTCAACAATTACTCTACATCCTACTTTTCCTTTGGACATTCCCTAGCTTTAAAGGGTTAAAAAGGCCCGTAGTTCCCATAGCGATATCTGTAGTAGCCTCGGGGAAAATAGGGATAATAATTCCTACCGTAGCCTGAGAAATAGGAGCTGCGGTAGAGGCTCCCCAGCCGTGACATCCCACCCCCGCAGGAGGAGCCCCCTCCCATTCCTCCGCAGGAGGAGCCCCCTCCCATTCCCCCGCAGGAGGAGCCCCCTCCCATTCCCCCACAGGAGCCCATTCCTCCCCCTCCAGAGCCCCATCCCGATCCCATCCCACCTCCTCCAGACCCCATCCCTCCTCCAGACCCCATCCCACCTCCTCCAGACCCCATCCCTCCTCCGGATCCCATCCCACCTCCGGATCCCATCCCACCACCTCCAGACCCCATCCCACCTCCTCCAGACCCCATCCCACCCCCTCCAGACCCCATTCCCCCGCCGATTTCGGGGATGGACGACCCAACGATGCTCTCGGTGGGGCAGGAGCTGATGATGGGCCCCGGGAACGTCACGACCACAGGCGGTGCGTAGACGATGGCTCGGGATTCTCCGCAGGAGGCGACGCAAGGCTCGCTGCAGGCATCGACGTAGGGCTGGGAGCACGTCACCTCGCAGGGCGAAGCGCAGCGGGCGCTGAGCAGTTGGCCATAGGAGGACATCGTTCCCGATCCAACCTGGAAGGACGAGAAGGTCCCAGCCCTGTGAAGGCACAGCCTGGGAAGGATGGGGAAGGATGGATTGGAAGGACGGAGAAGAGTTCTTCAGTTCTGGAGTTATTTGTGGGTTTAATTCTTTAAGTGACGCCTTTTAGAGGTAAAAAATGTCCCCAGGTAAAAACTCTCCCTATGTCCTCAGACTTCTCTGTGAGAGAGGGAATCCGGGTGAACAAAATGTGATTTGTCCCTAAATTCTGAGGGATGAGGCTAAGATATCCCGTAGGAAATGGAAGGTGTAGGGGGGATAATTCCCTTTGGAATTTGCTGGAAAGGGAGATGGGAATGGGGGTTTGCTGGATGATGTTTGGATGGACGGGTGCAGATGTGTGTGATCAAACCATCTGAATAAATGATTTTGTGGTTAAAAAAAATAAAAATAAAAATAAATCATCATTTCTAAGGCACAATTGGCTTTTCCATAAATTGCGCCACTCAAGGGAGATGAATTGTGGGGAAATGCTTCTGATTCTGTTCCCACTCCTCTCTAGTGCTCCAGGAATGGACCTTGAAGATTCAGTCCTGATCCCTGGCATGGGCAGGGACACTTTCCATAGACCCCAAACCCTGTCCAACCTGGCCTTGGACAGTTCCAGGGATGGGGCTGCCATGGCTTTTCTGGGAATTCCATTCCAGGGCCTTCGCATGCTCACAGGGAAGGATTTATCCCTAAAATGCCATCTAAACCTCCTGTCCATCAGTGTGAACCCATTCCCCCTTCTCCTGGCACTCCATCCCTTGGAAAAAGTCTCTCCCCGTGTTCCTTTGGGCTCCTTCAGGTCCCGGAAGGTCACAATTGGGTCACCCCAAAGCTTTTCTGCATTTTTGTCCTGTCTCTGTGCCCAGAATGAATTCTGGGAAGAACCTCCCGGTCCTTCTCCCTCTTCATTCCCTGTTCCTTTTGGGAATCAATCCCACCCTGATCAGGGGTTTGGAGTGACCCTTCTCCATAAATGAATGCTCAATTCCTAAAAGTTCCTCCCATCAACATTTGTATAACTCCCATTCCTTTCCCCGCTTTTATCCACCTTAATCCCAAGCCCGACTTCCCACGCAAGAATGGGTTTGGAGAATAAACTCTACCCTGATTTAGGATAGGCTATAAAACCTCAGTTCAAAGCTCCCCGTAAACCAAATTACCTCTAATTAGGAGCTGATTCAGTTAAATCCGACTTACCCAGTCAGCGAGGAGAACGAGTCGGCGGAGGCAGCTCCAGGGCCGCCAGTCAGGAGCACTTTTATATCCTGTCACGGAGAAGGGAAATTGGGAGCCACCTTGACGCAACCCCTTGTGAAATGGAATGTTTTCCCTGCTCCTGCCTCCCCTTGTCGCAACTGTTTTGATAACGCCTTAGGATTAGGAGATAATTCCCAGTCCCACACAGGGCACTGCAGGTGCTTCACCCTTCCCGGGCCTTTGCTGGAAATCTCTCCATCCTGGGGGACGGAGGGGAGGGTTTTCCCTAAAATCTGAGGGGATTTTCCCTAAAATATTCATTCTGTGTGTTCGTGGTCACTTTGTGTTCACCCCATGGATTTTTATGGAATTTTTGACTTCTGAATTCCCAGGCCCACATGAAGGTGTGGGATAATCCCCAGGCCTACAGGTGCTTCACCCTTCCAGGACCTTTTCTGGGAATCCCACTATCCACGGCGGGGATTTTCCCTAAAACAGGTGGATTTTCCCTAAAATATTCCCTCTGTGTGTGCGTGGTCACTTTGTGTTCACTCCATGGAATTTCCATTCTTGGAGCTGTCCTTTGAACAGAGAATTTCCTTTTCAAATTCCAAGTAGGAAATTTGAGGTACCAACCCAATTCCTGGACAAGAATTCCATCAGAAATTCAGCTAAAAAAGGGCACCTGCTCAGGATTTTATATTTTATCTGCAATTCTTCATCTCAAGGGTCATCCCCTTCAGAATAAACACCAAAAAATAACAAAAAAACAGGAAGAAATTGAATTTTCCTTCAGGGATCTGTTTTTTAGAGGCCAAGATGAGGAGAAAAGTTTAGTTTAGGATTAGAGGACTCAGAGTAAACATCACCTGAAGTCCAGGCCCACAAACTGACCTCAAAAAAATCCCCAGGCTTGGAAAATGCTGATAATGTGATTTCCATGCTCACGTTTGCATTAAAAAAAAACAACCTGTTCCTTCTCAGTTGTGGTGAATTATTGAAACGAAAGGAAAACACAAAAACAAAGCTCCAAATAAATTATTTTATTTACATTTCATGGCTCTGGAATCAATCTAATGAGCAGAGGAGACACATGAGCAGCACAGAACAGTCTGACTCACTTAATTTGTGGCAATTAAGAGCACCTATTAATTACAGTGATTGACAGCTGAGGCAATTCCAGGAGTTACCAAACCCAGTATTTGAAAAAGGCCCATAAGAACCTTGTCCCATTGTCTTGGAGGTTTTCCCAATTGGTTTAAAACACAAAACTGCCCCAAAAAAAAAAAAAATCCCTGGGGTTTGGTTTCTGGAATTGGGTTTTTTCCCTGGAAGCTTTAATGGGATCCTTTCCTTGGTGGAATTTCGCAGCCCTGAAATTCCACGGAGATCCTTCCAAAAAAAATCCGCTCCCAAATGCAAACCCCTGGCACAGGCCCAAAATTCCTTTCACAAGCCCTGAACCCGCCTCAGATCAAAGAGTTCTTTAAGGAGATAAGCTCCCCAGCTGGAAGAGAAGTCCTTCTGGAAATATTAATAAATTTTTTTAAAAATCAGAAATATCGGGGTTTTTTTTTTGCAAAGAATTTACGGGGTGGGGGGGGGGAATAAACAACAAAGCAACTTTTTTTTTCATTTAAAAAATAAAAGTAAACTTTAAAGAGCAGCACTTTGTGCTGAGGAGCTCCAGACTCACCTCAAACAAACCAACTCCAGGGATTTACCTGCGAGATTCCTCATCCTGTTTTTTCCTGGCACGCTGTTGTTGTTGTTGTTGTTGTTGTTGTTGTTGTCGTGGCCACTAAATTGATTTTCTGGCTTTAGGAATTCCAGGGCTCTGCTCTGATCCTTCCCGGCTGCTTTGCATACGGAGATGAAATCAGAGGAAGCTGCCGCAGCTGCTTTGCCCTTCCCTATAATTTTCCAAATTGGGCTCCGAGGCCGCTTGGCAGAGAGGAAATCTTGGGTGTCACCAT